AAAAATAATGACATTTTGCCCAGAACACCCTAAGCGAGACCAAAATCCGAAATTTACACCCCTAAGCGAGACGACGAGCATCCCCGTCCATTCCATATGTGAGTCCCCCCACCCCCCGGGGTTCCTTTATGGTTTATTATTATCTGTTTGGTGTTTTTCTATCTCAGTAAATTACTATTTTCAGGTTTTCTTCAATTTAAAGGTTATTTTGTACATGGCCAAAATGCCGTGACTAAGCTCCTTAAAGCAGTTAGTTATTTAGCTATTAGAAATTTATAAAAATGCTCACTGACTATATAGAGTTAAAACTTTCGAGCTTTTCCATCGAAGGATGTAGGCTGACAGCCAAAAGCTCGATAGTTTTAGCTCTACATAGTCAGTGAACGTTGTTTTAAACTTTTCAATATGTTTTCTCCTGGTTAAGGTTCTTCTATCAGTTTAGTTATTTATCCTTATCTGTTTATCATAATTCGTAAATTAACTTGCCGGTCTTCCTGGTAAACCTGGTGTTCCTGGTTTACCCCCTATGCCACGCGAGCCCTGCAAAATAAAAAAAACTAAATAAATAAAAATAATAAAAAACACGAGACATTAAAAAGATATTGACTGTGACAACATTTTCTTACCGTCTATAAATATTTAAACCTCGTTCCTCAGCATGCTACACATTCGATATTGTGGTTAGCTTACCTTGACTCCTGATATACCGGGTTGTCCAGGCAGACCAATAAAACCTGGTGGCCCCTGACAACGAAAAACCAAGATTAAGCTGAAGTTCATAACACTTTTAAACATGAATACTATGATAAAATTGTTGACACAGCACGTAGTCTTGTACCATTGCACCAAATTTATTGCACTACCATCGCAAATCTCTATTCTTTGTACGTATTTACATTTTCCTAATTAACGTTCGACGTTGCGCAGAGAAGGCATCACGCTAGACACGAATTGACTACAAAAATTTAAAGAGAGCTTGTGAAACTTGGTAATTGGTGAAATTTTTGGCTCTTTGGGTGTTATATTCGAGGAAAAATTGGCTTTAAAAAGCTTCAAAATTTCTGGATGGCAAAAGCACTAATGAGCTCATACACTCTTTCTAAAATTTTGAGTTTTTAAAACCGCGTCGCAAAAAAAGTATTCAATACATCGCGCTCAAATTCCTTGGGACAGTTAATGGTGCTGTTCCCTTTCGCTATTCAGAACTTATGTTTTTGTAGCTCCATCAGAAACGGTATCGCTCATGCTAATGAAGCAAATATTGTAGAAAAAGATTCTCCTATAACGAGAAGACATCTCATCATTTCGTCACTACTTAGAAAACCTTAGAAACGTTAAACCACAGTAGTTCCATATAAAAACTGCTATTAAGTAACAGAGCACTTCTTCTCTGTCTACATAGCCTCGTCTAAACACGACGGGGCTTCGGAGAATTCAAGACAGTTGTGCAAACTCGAGAAGCAGGTTTGCATAACTTTTGACAATTCTCCCAACCTCCGAGTGCTTGGATGAGACTATGTAAACAAGGAAAAAGTGCTCTATTGCTTTTATAAAATATTTCTCAAAAATACGCCCGAATCTAAAACGTGTTTAGATGAGCCTAGTGACCAATGAGAGCGAACGTAGTATCTCCCTTATTTTATAAATTCATATATAGATGAATTTTTTTATATGATATTTTAATATGGCGAACGAATGATGCAAAATATATATAGAATCTAACTGTTTTTATAACGAACTACCGCGATTTCACAGGGTTTTTTAACATTTGTTTGTTTATTTTTTGAAGATTTTTTAAGTATATCGAGTGTGTATAAAACACGTGACGTCTTTTTTTTCTCGTTTTTCCAACACAATCCTAGCTTTGGCGTTTAAAGTTTGTCAAAATATTTTATCCTACTGCGTACTGAAATCACTGCCAAGTGAAGCTTGCTTCTTCAAATATTTTAGATTCATGTGATTTCAACCAAACCTAGATCTATCTTTTACCGTATTGTTGCCCTGCCTGCATGCAATCGGTCTGCATGCATTAGGCCTGCATACGTTAGGTCGGCATAAATTAGGCCGGCATACATAAGGCCTGCATACATTAGGTCATGTGCAGATTTGATGCCCGGTCATTTGCGTCTATGCAGGCACTGGCATAAAATAGTGACTCGTTCACCCTACAAAGTCCCTAGCTCAAATTGGTTTTATAAAAGTTTTCAAGTTTGTTGCCGACCGTATTTAGTCTGTTAAACATAAAAGGCGTAGTTTGTAGTAGACGCTTGGTACACCTAACTTATTAATTCCCCCTGAGATGTGTTAATGTGGACTCTTATTGTCTCTTCTATATTACCCACACACCCAATTCCAAATAATAAATATCGCAACTCACAGGTGGACCCTGACTGCCAGGTCGACCAGATGCTCCCACCGCACCTCTGTTACCCTGTAAAGGAGGAGCAAAAAATGTCAAGAGCTTAATTGATCCCTCCCCAAAGTGGGAGTTATTGGACTACATCAAACACCGACTGAGTGAACATAAACGAAATATGAGGAATGGGAATGGATCATGTGACCCACGATCGCGCGTTGGATATGAGCGGGCTATAATCATCTCAGATCCAACAAGCGAGAGTGGAATAATGGTTTATTAAAAACGCCCCCAACATATAGCAAACTAAAATCAAAATCAAAATCAAAACGCCCCAAAAAATCACGTGTACGCTTACCATATTTGTAGAGCTTGGTATAATGGCTCATAACCCATGATGGCTAAGCCAGTGAAACCTCTCGAACTGCATTATCCAATGATCCAGTTTTTAATACTTTGTATTAACCTGTATCTACAAAACTTGCCTTTTGGGTAATTTCTAAATTTTCGGTAACTGCATATACTGCTTTGTTGAGTTTGCAATAAAGTTCAGGTTGTCAGGTTGCAGTCTGGTATAGCTACCAGTGTCGAGCGAGATGCACCTTAACATAACATAGTAACCACCACAATACCATTTGCTTATTTCACGTGTTCCAGGGCACTAGAAGAAATCTAGTTTTTCAAGAAAGGGGAACTTCAGGAAGTTTGAAATTGTTGATAAATTGGCTAGAAGAAGCGGACGAGGCCCTTTTCCCATTAGCATTTTCGCGACACTTGTAACTATCGAGAATTTTGTAAGACACCACCCAGTATTGAACCAGTGGTCATTTGGTGCAAAGAAACGCATTATCCATTGACAGGGTCTTCATAAATCCAGTCATCCATAAATTAATTTATTACTATCTCACAAAGGTGAGTTAAAGATAATATTTCTACTTACAGAAGCTCCAGGTGAGCCCGGGGAGCCCTTTGGTCCAATCAAACCCTCAGTTCCCTGCAAATTCACAATACAATTGCCTTTTAGTTTTTTTGTTTCAAAAGGGAGAACAAAAAATTATCGAAAGCTAGCGAGAACTTAACTCTTACTCTTGCTCGACCATTTACTCTTATACACTGTCATTTCCTCCAAGCAATTTGTATAGGTAATCGTATGAAAGCGAGTGGAGTTAAAGATTTATTCTCTCAAAATTGCACGAGCCTTCAGGCTCGCGATTTCAAAGAATTGTCAAATATTACGAGTAGCCTTCACGCGATTACTTATTTATTACATGGCTTGCTCTCAGCCAATCGCAATGAAGTAATTTTCTCAGTTATATAATAAAAAAAAATGTACACGTAATTGGCCACTCCCCATCGGGGCTTTTCAGGACCAATGTAAACAAACAATAATAAATAAATATCCAAATAAACATAACTAGGTTAAGAATCCCAACTGGCGGGAGGCAGACCAGTTGGCTATTTACAAGCGTAGTCGAGAAGTTGAACTCGGGGCTACCGAGAACAACATCACTAGCGGTAAGAACGGGATTTGAACCCGGGACCTACGGATCTCAAATCCGGCGCTCTAACCACTCGGCCACGCTGCCTCCCGAAGGGAAGAGAATAAGAAGATGTTCAAGTTTTTGGGGGGGTATTAGCAGGAGATCCCGTTCAGGTGAAAGAAAAATGTGTCAACTCTCACATCAAGTCACCAGGTACAAGAACTTTCGATAAGCCCTGAAAACAATAAGAACTTAATGACTGGCCCCGCGGGAAACAGTGAGTTTTGTTTCCCCGAGACCCTCAATGTTCCCCGAGGCGAAGTTTTGTTATACCTCCCAACTCAAAAATAGAGAAAAATTGCGGAGAAATCGTTTGCTTGACACCGGCCGGCTCACAAATTTGCCGTGGTTTCAAGGAGCACGACCTGATCACGTGCGAGTCGGAAGTTCAAGTTGTTGTTTCCCTAGGGAGTTAGTGAGTTTTGTTCGCCCTAGGGAGTAAGTGAGTTTTGACCCACGACACGTGACACGTTCTCCTCCAATCGAAAAGCGTATTTGAGTTGGGAGGTATAAAAACATAACATATGTCTGCATCAAAGAAATATATCAGCAACAGCTAAAGAGCAAGAAACGGAGTCGACTGACGCCAAGAGACGGAAGTTTCAAAAAGAGGTTTCTTTGACCTACCTCGATTATAAATAATATAATTTATAAGACGCAGACTTCCATATAACGCTCAGTCGCGCAAAAAAATTAAACACAAATTTAAGTAGATTGAAGAATAAGAAAATGAAAACTAATCGTTGAGGATTTAATAATAATAATAATAATAATAATAATAATAATAGTTCATTTATGCAGCACACGCATCCATTATTTGCCCGAGGCGCTTAACAAAATGATCCCTCAAAACTACAGTTTTACTCTAAGAAACTTAAAAAATTAAAAAGCTAGCAAAACTAGCTTACTTTACAATGGTAATTGAACTGAGTGGAGTGCAATTTGGTCTGAAATCATACGCGTGATTTCAAAATCGAACGAGCGCGCAGCGAGAGTTCCATTTGAAATCACAAGTATGATT